TGAAGAACAACTGAAGGGGGAAAAAAGAAGAGAAAAAGTATTAATCCTGCTTTTGGTTTGACTGTGAATTAAGCAAACTTTACTACAAGTGTCTGAGGTCTTGGTGAAGACACTCTATACATGCAAAGTCTTTGATGTTTCTGAACATGCTGGCAAGGTCAAAAATTTATGCTGTTACCTCTCATAAATGAGGTAAATAATATGTTGAGGCTATTTCCATGAAAAAAGGGGAAAATAATACGCTTTTTTCTGCTGACAGAAGATCCTGTCAGAGCACTTCTACTGTACTGTCCTGTTTTTGGTGAGAACACTGGTGATGAAGGGATGTTGTAGACAGTGAGTGTCAAAAAGATGTCTCTAAAATGTTGTCCTAACATGTTATTAGTATAGAAATTGGCGTACATCCAGATGCCTGCCTTATGGATCTTAGAAGATCAATGGATGGGCAAGAAAGCAAGAATGTGAAATACAAGTGTGTGCTCGTGTGTGGTTTCCCTGACATTCCCCTCATCTCCCGTGACTTCCTGGGTGGTTTGCTGAAAAGTTGTGCCTAAGGCAAATTAAAAACCCACCAGCCCAAGGGAGAGTTCCATTGCAGAAGGGTCAGCAGCAATTGCAGTCTTGAAGTTAGATGCTCAGGTCTGTGTTCAGGTCTATTGATGAATTTTAATTTAATTTAATAGTAGTCTTTTGCTGAACCTATTTAGTGTGTCATTCCAGCACCTCAGGACTGCAGTGGTTCAAGGTGGTTTAAAGGCTCCCATTTGCCTTTATTGGTGGCCTGGCACTATATTGTCCTGGTCAGGTGGGTAGGCAGTGGCCCAGATTGAGATAGACAGCAGTGATCACACCGAATTTGCATTGATCAAGTTGCTTCCCTCTTGTTTCAGACCAGTATTATAGTTTGCTCTTTGGTCTGTGGTAGAACGCAGAGGCACGAGATCCTGGTGGAGTTTGGTAGCACAAGAAGGAGGAGAAGGAGGATACTTTCCCCATAGAACCACCAGCTCCCTTGCTCAATTCCAGGGAAAATAAAATTAATGTTTATGCTTCATGGAGATGCCCTTCTTCTCCAATACCTGCCTTTGGTGGAGGTGCCCAACACCAAATGCTGCCATACAAATTTCAGAGATCAAACAGAAAACCCAAATTTGCCAAAATAAGGGAGACTCTCTTAAGCCAGCCTATTTTTAGAAGATCCTCTGTGGAGAAAACAAAGTCTAATTAAAAACAGCCTTTACTGTTTCAGTAACACACCATTTCACATGTGACCCTGGGAGTTGGTTAAATCTTGTTAACAGTCTGAGTCCCACTTAGCTTCAAAGTGAAGCCTTCTCCTCCATATCCTGCTATTTTCAAGGCACAAAGTGAACATCACTATTATTTAGGGTGTTCTGCTCTTTAACATTTATTTTTTGAGAATGCTACTTATAATGATTTAAGGTCTTTTCTTCTGGTAACTGAGTTCAGTGGTTTTCTTGGTGCTAATCTCCACTTAATCTTTCTTACTGCTGCAAATAACGTGGAGGAAATGATGCCTTTACAGAACAGCATTGCTTTTAAATTGTGCTTTTTTCATTACCAGCTGTGGAAAAGTCTATTTTTCCACTAGTTGACTTGCATACTCTGGTAGTGATATAACTGGTTCTCAGGGGAGATCACCACAGATAGCAGCATGAACTTCCTCCTTAGGAGGCAGTTGCATCTATAAAATTCTTTCAGTTGATCCCTTTGTGGCAAATGAAGTGGAGGGGGCTAGATCCTTCCCTGTGACAGCCGCTACAGTTCGCAAGTTGCACGTCATGTTTGTAAAGGCTCAGGACAGGAGGCACACCTCTGGGCAGGACTCTGCTTCCCTTCCTTAGGGAGCCACTCCCATGGCACTTCAGCAGCACAGCCAATGGAGCAGCAAACATAGCTGGCCAAAGGACAAAAATCCAACTGACAAGTCCTTGCAGACCACAGATCCTTATTACATTTTGGTCTTCACAAGCTGTCACCATTCAGAAGTCAGCAGCAACTGTGTGCCAAAGGATGCTCAAGGCTGCAATACTCAAGCATCCATTCCACAGGGGACCAGGATGGCAGGGAAGAGAAGCAGCAGCCCTCTGTGAGGGGTGCTCTGGGCTCCAAGGACACTCCTGTCTTTGGTTTTGGAGGCTGGCAAGGAATTATGAGATTGATGGGAGGGTTTGCAGTCTTGAGAGGCTTGTTAAAATGCATAGCTCTGAACCTTTTCCCACAGTGTTCTGTCATAAGACTGGCTTGGGGAAACAGCTGAGAAACAAGTGGGACCAGAACATTAAGGGCTAGACAGGGATGGGGTGTTCCAGCCCATGGGCTTCCAACTGTGGCTGAAAATGAGCAATGGAGATGTTTTGTTACCATGATGAGGACTTTAGTGCACAGCTCTGATGCACGTCAGATCTCCACATCTCTGCCTCAGCAGGAGCAGCAATAGAAAACAGCTGTGGGCAGGGGCAGCACCTGAGGAGCAGCCAGGCGTGCTGCACGGGGCAGCAGTGCTTAATGGGATCACCATTGCTCAGCTGCCAAGCTCCCTTGCCAGATGGCACTGTCTCTACACTACAACACTGGAGCGGAGGCGGTGATGAGAGTGTGTGTGAGCATGTGACTGATCAGCAATAAGCCTTTCTTACTTTCAATCCGTCACCTTGTCTGGGTGTGAGCAGACCGTGAGGCCTAACAAATCTCAAACCCACTGACAGCAAGCTGCAGGGCCTCTAATTTCTGCTGTTTTCTAGGCAGGTCCCCCGAGCCTCAGTCAAAACCTCACTGGTGCAAGAGCTCCCTGTCTTCCCACCCTTACTCAGCAAGCTGCCAGCAGCACTCTCCACCCCCAGACAGTTGCATTCAATTACCCTGAATTTAATCACAGAAAGCAATTTTTTCCTGGCCACAACTTTGAAAGGGGCAAAAACAAATGCTGCAGGTCACAAACTGTTATATCTGATCCTCCCTCCAGATTTATCATGGGGTTTTTTGTCCCGTCCCTGTTATGTGGTGTTGGTGTCAGAGCCTCCTCCTGGCCAGATGAATCTTATAAGAAACTTGGTTATTAATCAGATTTTGCGGGGATTTAAGGAAAGTTGCAAACACAAGCAGGCGAGCAGGAAGTTCTCACTGTCCTTGTGAAATGACTACCACTGTTTCTCTGTAAAACCACACACATTTCCTCTGCTGTAACTCCTCATGCCATTCAAGTTCCCCAGGGGAAGTGAGAAGAAAAAACTTGTCAGAGAAACAGATCAGGAGTGAGAGAGATGGTAGCTAACTATGCTAATGGCACAGTTTAGGCATTTTGGGGCATAAAATAGGCATAATATCACATGCCTCTGTGGGTTGCTGTCACTATTAGCCATCCACAAACCTGACATAATTTAAAAAATACTAAGTGTTATTAAAAATCAAGGAAACTAATTAACAAGGAAAGTATTCAACCTAGGAATAGCACACATAACTGAGTGCTAGTGCCAGCAGGGCAGGAGATGAAATTTATACTCAAGTTGCATTCACAGATTGGTAGAATCATAGAATATGCTGAGTTGAAAGGGATCCACAAGGATCATGGAGTCTAATTCCTGTCTCTGCACAGAACACCCCAAGAATCACACCAGGTGCCCAAGAACATTGCCTGTACTCCTCTTGAACTCAGACAGGCAGTGCTGTGACCACTTCCTTGGAGAGTCAGTTTCCCTCAGTTTAGAGCATGTGTCAGTATGAGGGTATGTCAGCAGAGTGGTGAGCAGAGGGAGGCTGCCCATGTCATCCTGACCTGGCCACGATGGGAAGAAGTTGGGACACTTGTCTCTCCACCCTTGCTGAGCTGTGGTTGTCAGCTGAACAATACCTGACTAACACATACCTGAGGGATGCTAAAGGTGGTTTCCACAGCAGGGCTCAAACGGCCTTGCCCAGGTCACATTTCTGTAACTGGCTTGGGCCTTGGTTTATTAATCAGCTCTCATTGAGCGTAGCACTTAAGCCACAATGTCGTGTCACAAGTATTGGGGTGTGAAGCCTTTGGGATTGGAAGTCCCATACAACTCCCCCAGTTACTCATATACCTGTGTGCCCATTGAAAAAGAAAAAATTTTTGCTATTTTTTAAAATTGCTGTCAAGACCCTTCCTCTCTCCCATCCCAGCTCCAAGAGAATCAAGAGCAGAAGCCAATACTCAGATGCTTGTTCAAGTCCCGTCCTGCCACAGCCTGAAGCAAAGTGCTACGCCCCTACTGACAACTCAGCTTGACTCCTACTAACCTGCTGTGGGCAGGAGCATTAGCTCAGGCTCTTCAGTACCCCTCTTACCCAAACTGTGGAAGTGTTTCTTATTCTGCTGGGTCATGCATTCAAATGTCAAAATTGTGACTCATTAAAAGGGCAAGTTTCGGGGATGGCACAGGAAAGAAGAAAAACAGCTTGCAAGAGACTTCCTGTTTATCCACAGCTTGGGAAAAAAATTGACACAACAGAATACACACACCCTGGCTCCATTATCTTTGCTGGCACAATGCTGGCTTGGCTCTGTCCCTTACCACTCAAGGCCAGATCCATCCCTGCCATGAGCATGTTTACTTTAGAGGAGTTTACTCGAGAGAGAAATCCGGCCCCTGGAGCCTGAATGCTCGCAGTGTGCGAGCAAACACACGGGCACTGGGAGCCCCTGCCACAATGCCACGGCACTGGCCCCTGGCCACACCAGGGAGGTCATTTTCTTCTCGGCAATTAGCAAAGTGGTGGCATCTCTAAAAGAAGTTGAATAAACACATTCAACCCAGCTGGGTTCCCAGTTTGCTCTGTTCTCACCACTCTTCCTTCTGGGCGCACGGTGGGGCCCCAGCAAGCAAGAGCTCGATGCCTGTGCACTGCGCTTTCATTCAGGCCTTTTTGGAAAGGGCTTTTAGGAAAGAGGAGGAGGGGGGAAGTAACCCTTTGGCTTTCTTTCTTTTACAACTGTCCTCTCTTTTTCTTTTCAGGGAGGAAAAATGCCAGCTTCTCTAAGAAAACTGCAGCAAATGGCTGTTTTCATGGGACTGTTCAGCGGCGGGGGATGCATCGTGATGTATAATCTTATGCAAAGTAAGTCTTGGGTGTTGTTAGAAACCTTATTTCTCCTCTGCCCCTTTGACTAGCTTTTGTGCAGTGGGGAAAATAGCAGCATGCAAGTTGTGAAAAGCAGATGAAGTTAAGGGAAATGTGGCTGAGCTTCTGGGTTCTGCCTCTCTGGGCTCTACTTTTTTCATCCCCAGGGCTTTTGCTCTCTCGGGTGCTGCTGTGTGCATTTCCGGAGGCGCATATTGCATAGGGAACAGGCTGTTGTGGTCAGAAGAAAATCTGGTTTTTGAGGATTTCCTGGGGGTGATGGTAAAGCGAAAGCTTCACCTGCAGTAGTGCAGGTTTCATTTCTTAACTGAGATTTTGTAACTGGGCAGTAAAAGAGGACCATCTGTGAGAAGGTGTTAAAGTCTAGCAGTTTTATCTGTCAATCTCTGCATGGTGCTGGCCCTTAAACACAACACACCTGTGAAATGCTAAGAAATCATAAGTTTCTCCTGAATGAAGTACAGGTAAGAGCAGTCAGCACTGAGAAGACATGGACAAAGAGAAGAACTAGACAGATGATGTTGCTGTTTATAGACATCTCTAATTGCTATGTGTCTTTGGCCAAGAATTCACATTATTAGTCCAAATTATAGATGTTTATGTTTTCTAAAACTGCTTTTAGATATTTAGCATCAGAGCAGAAATAAGCTTTGCCTCTCTCTCAGGGGGTGCCATAGGCCTCTTGGCCCCATGCCTCTCCCTTGTTAGTGCTATCAAATGCTATTGCTTTTCACCTACCCTGATACCAAAGGATGCTGCCAAAAAAAAATGTGTAGCCAAGCCTGTTTCTCAAGCCCTCAGATAAGCTCTGAAACCTGCCCTTCATTTTACACATATTAATAACAAATCAGACAGGGCTGGAAAGCAGGCTTTAATTTTAGGCAGCTCATGCCCCCAAGCTCTGGAGTACATGATAGAAATATGATCCTTATGCTTTAAAATATTGAATTTGGCTTTAACAAGGACATTAACATTTTTTTAATTTTCAGCTTCAGCACTGTTATCTAGAAATCTCATGGGGTAGTCACCCCCTGTGCTACACAGCAGGCCCGAGGGCTTGTTCCCCACATGCCTTGGCTGTGCAGTCAAGTGGCACATTGCAATGGCTACTTCTGGCTCTCTTGTAATTTCAGTGGCCACTGAGCAGCTGCCTGATGACTCTGCCAGGCTCCCTTGGCTCATGCCTGGGGCTATCCCAGTGCCTTCTGCCCAGTGCACAGAACTGGCCCATACATGGGCTAGTGAGGAACGAGTGACCTCCATAGTGGTGGGAGCAGTGGGAGAGGCTTCCTTCCCTTCCTTCAGGCTGAAGGGAAGTTTGCATGCACGTGGTCTCTGTGCAAGCTTGTACAAATACTCAGGTAATCCTATTTCTACTTATTCTCATCACCTCCACACCCTTCTCATGGAAGCAGTCTGCTCAGCCAACTCCAGCATGCTTTCAGCTCTCCTACCAAAAGATGTGGGGACAAATGGATTAGTTGGGCATTTAATGTCTAATGCATGAGATGCTAACAAGGAACAGCTGAGAAGGAGCACCAGGAAATTAGAATCCATTTCTTCTCCAACCTGCAGGATGAACACAACATATTTTTCACATAGTCTAGGTGGCTGTTCACCATGATTTATAGGTACCAAAGGGTGGGCATGCTGCAACCCCTTTGGCTGGAGCTCCTTAAGATGCTCTGGGGAGACACAGGAGGAACAACACAGGTGTCAGCCTAGCAAAGCTGTTTCTATGCCAACTGGATGCTGCTGGCTCAAAAGGGATGCCTCTAATTAGGGAGAGGGGGCAGCGTGCTTCTGCCTCAAGCTCTAAGATTGATAATGGCAGGCAAGAGACTAAGAAACAAACCTTGCACTTTATTTTAGACCCTTTGAAAGGTGAGAGCAAAGTTGCCAGAGTAAGATTTGACAACTACACACTCTTAGCTTAACTCTGCTTTTCTTGATGTCAAAAAACCCCAGCAAGACAGCCTTAACACTGTTAATAAGCAAATCTGTCTCCATAAGGAGGGTGTGGAGGTGTCCAGCTCCTCAGCTGCGCCCTTCCCATTGACGACCACGACAGAGCGTTTCACAGCCATACAGAGCAAACAGACATTGGTAAATAGCAGTTTGCCACAACTGTCCTCCATGTGCCAACACTGCAGCATCCATTTACAGTGCTTGTGGCTGCTTGACCAGTAACTTGAGTGGTGCCTCCCTTCTAAGGCCTCTGTCAGCAGAGTTGTAGCTTCATGGCTGCCACTTGGAAAGCTGTACCAAGACCACAGCTAGAGTTCTACAGCAGCAGCAATTCCCCTCTCAGTGTGTGCAGGATATTCCCCATTCTTAAAATACTTTATATACCTCCAACAGAAAAAAATAAAAATAGAATTTTTATCAGAACATTTCAGATATTCATCTTTGTACCTTTTCTTTCCCTTCCTTTTAGATAATCTACAAATGCATGAAAAGTGGGGAGACACAGCCATAAGCTGAGCTGTATATCAGAATGGAACAGGCTATGTTCAGAGCCCTCTTCACTTAAATGAGCTGAATAAACATTTGCTTCTCTGATGTAAGGGTGTGTTTCCTCCTTTAGCCAAATTTCTCCTAATTAATAGTTTTGGACTGTATTTCAGGGAGGGTGTGGTAGTCTGGAGAAAATGTCTTTTTCTTTTTTTTAATCTTAAGTTTTAAGTGAACAGTCTCCTCACTACCCTGCTTCTCTCACCTAGAAAGTTTTGCCAGGACCCAGTATTACCAGCAAGCTTTGGAGCAACTGAACAGCAATCCTGATGCCCTGGAAGCCCTGGGTGCCCCCCCTCTTAAGGTTCACAACATCCGCCTGACAGATGGGAGCAATCGTGTGGACACAGAAAGAGCACGGGTAACACCGGGCGGGCGGTGTCACAGGGTGGCTTCCCGAGATGGCAGATGACAAGAGATCAGCCAGGGGATTTTCAGCGGGTCACGAGTCACCTGGGGTTACTGGAAGGAAGTAGGATGGAATACCAATTGATCTGGAAGAGGAATGGATTTCCAGAGCATAAATCTACTAGCCTAGAAACAGCAAGAGCAGCATCTCCATGTTGTGCTATATGGGCCCATCACAGAATGCTGAGGAACCTCTCAAAACAGTCAGCCCCAACCCCCACACTTTAAGCCACAAAATCATTTTTAGAGATGTATCAGATCCAGCTTTAAAATAGCACCTGCCTTCCTTTACCCCCCAGATAGGTCCCATGCTAGTTTTTAGAGCTTTATTCAGAGCAGTTTTACAGCCTCTTCCAGGCTATGCTGTGGAATAGCATAAATGTTGTGTTTTTTAAGAGCACCTGTAAGTTTGTGTCATTGGGAATGGCTGCCCAGCCTGAGACTCAGCATGAGGGTTACTCAGTGACTGGAGAATGCTGTGCTGGGTGCTGAAGTATTGCACAAGGCTGCCTTATATCAGCCAAGGGCTGGGCCCAGGCAAACCTTGCAAGTACACTTCCACTTGGCATTGATGCCTCAAAAGCACTTTCCATCGGTGTTTTTATCCCTTAATCCAGGACTGGCTGCCTTTCCCTTATCTTGCTAGTAACACCAAGTGCCCTTAGAAACCTCTTCAGGTCCTTCACTAAGGTAACTCATCACATGGGACTAATTTAGTTTTTACTGGTGAGTAGTTATGAATGCCAGGGACCAAGCAAGGGCATTAAGGAATGGGTCAGATCTTACAATGAGGGAGTGTGGCTATCAGGGTAAGATAAAAGAAAACTCAACCTTTAACCAACTCACATAAAATTACTTTCCATTTCACTTCAGCCAGGCTGCACTTACCTGATACCCTGGACCAAAACATTTCCTGTTTTATAGATGACACCAGGGAACATATCTAAGGAAAAAAATCATGCAAAACCCCACACAATCTCATATACTGACTGAAAAGAAGATACCCTTTCCCACGGATGTTTTCCTATGTCACTGTTTAAGAATGCTGGTCGCTTGGGTGACTCAGGGTGAAGTCAAGCCCTGCCTTCTACTGACCTCACCCAAGACACAAATCACCAACTTTCTTCATGCTCCTGAGTATTCATGTTCTCATTAAATAAGCTGGTTAATCTTCACTATACTGCAGGTCAATTTACTGATTTTAGAACATTCCCAGCTCCTGGATCTGTTGGCAAACACCTGGAATTTTCTCTGTGATTGCATCACCACCAGCAAATGCTACACTTGAAACATTTATTTTATTCAGACATTAGACCCAGTGTAATTGGCTGCTGCTGCTGCAGCTGCAGCTTTGTTTGTTAAACAGACAAGTGATAAAATTTGTCACACTGAAAATAAAAGATCATTGAACATCTCGTTGCCTCAGTGTGTGTTAAGGGACTGATATGCAGAGGATCTCAACCTACAGGCTGGTAATAGTTATTGGAAGCTCTGACAGTTCAGGTCACCTCTGGATGACCATGCATTCTGGTAAGGAAAAGTGTTTGATCATAAATATTTCAGGGAGCCAGTGGTTTTCCCTGGGGGTTGCAGCTGTAGCACAGTACATTCTTTCAGCAGAGAGAGATTAGTGCATGGCAGAGCAGACATACTTGTGTAGCCACACACGTGTTAGTTAGAATAGCTTAGTACAATTCTGAAATACAGTAAAAAAAAAATAAATCAAATTATAGTGTTAAAAAGGTGTGAGCTCTTTGACTAGAAGGAGTAAATGTCTGTTTCATAATACACTTTGTTGAATCTTTAATGTGCTTTTGCATCTGCAGATAAAGTTACCGGTGTCTGGAACAAAATCAGCAGGCTACCTCTACATTAACTCGGAGATGGACCACTCCCATCAGTGGTGCGTACTGGGGGAGGTAACAGGAGAAATGGGAAATGAGTGGTAGGAGAAAAGAGTAGAGGAGGATATTTACTTTAGTCATCCATGTTGCTGAGGTCATGCACACAAATCAAGCAGAAACTTCTGTCTGAAGGTCTTGTGAAAGGTTATTATTTTCATTAGGACAAAAAGGTAAGTTAGTTGAGAAATATTTTTTAATCCATCTCTCTGAATGTGAATAGAAGAGCAACATGAGCCATTCCTTTAAGTGTGTTCTGCAAAATGTAGCTCAGTACATAAAGAAATATTGTGAGCCAAGGTAAAGTATTGTCCCCTCCCACCCTGCCTCCCCACAGAGGTGCAGGGGCTCTTGAACAGCAGTCCTAACTCTGGTAATTATGGATTGCAGTAAGGGAATCACACATTATATCATTTATTATTATTGCACAGCTATATTATTATAGTTCTGCAAGCTGAGCTAAAAACACAGGATTTGTATTTTTAAGCTATCCAGGAAGTGTGGTCCTTATTGTTAAAAAAAGGTGCAAGAACTGATACATTATAGCAGAAGGATACTCTGATACCATTTCATATGGAAGTTACTTTATATTTTCATAGTACTGAAGCCTGAAAACCTCCTTTGTCAACAGTAAACTGGTTTCTGAAACTGAACAAAGAATTACTACATGAACTCAAAAGTTTAACTAGATGCAAGTTTAACTTGTTAGTTACTTCTATTAGCTCTGTTTAGAAACCAAAAGCTACAAAACTTTTACTCAGCTGCCACCAGCCATATGGTGATGCTTTCTATTCATAATTAGATGAGCATGACTTACTGGATTTCTCTTCTGAGTAAGCATGGGAAGGAAAGTGTAAAAGGATGTGAGAAAGGCACTAGGCTGGGACTTGAGAAACTCAGTGCTGGACCTGGCCTCCTTCCTAATGACCAGGAACAACCCCAGAGGTCCCCAGCCCCATTTCTTGCATACCTCACTTCCCTGGTGCCAGAGCTCTCATCTCCTCACTCCTCCTTAGCCCCTCTTCACAGACAGTTCCCTGTTATTCCGGGTTCACAATTACTGTGAAGGCAACTGGAGATGGCAAAATGTTAAACTACAGTAGTGCATACACTTCTCTTGGAGTTTTGTTTTAAAGTGAGCTCTTTTTACATTTCTGCAAACCTAAGAAAAAGAAAAGGCATCTGCTCGTAAAAGGATCTGTAGCAGATAAATCTGTCTCCACTAAATCCACCCATGTGCAGGGTCCTGAGCACAGCTTCACATGGGGCTGAGACAGGACTTGGTGCCTTTGCATCCCACTAAGGAATTAACAGTAAAATGGCTGGGAGTAAGGAGCAAGTAAGCAGGCCACCCTGGTGGGATGCTGCAGAGTGCGTGTGTGCTTTTCCAGGGGAGACCAGGGCAGCTCTCACACCAATACAGACAGAGCTAAATGACACCAGGAGTTGAGTGCTCTGTGCAAGAGTAGCTGAGGCACCGGAGCCATTGAAATGCATCTGACTCTGGGTGTACAGACTGTCCATAGCAGTTTATTTATTTTATAAAAGAGAAGACAACTGAAAAATAAAATTTGGAGTCTGTGAGCTCTTTTTGTCCAGGAGGAAGTGGCATTCACCCAGAGGCAGGCAGTACAGGGATGGGGAGGGTGCCCAGAGGCAAGGGCAGCCAAGGCACTGCAAAATTACTCTTGCCTGCCCTGGGGTGACCAAGAGAAGGGCTGAGCCCCCAGGCCACACTATGGGGAATGAGCAGGTGACCTCCAAGCCTGGTTGCTTGGCCTGGGTTGGGGGTGGGAGCAGAGGGCTACTGAGCAGAGGCCTACTGCAGACCCATTGCACAGAGGTGCAGCAGCCTAATTACCTAATTGTATGTACTCAACACTGACTCCAGCAAAAGCAGAGCTGGGCCAGTGCCAGAAGCTTTTGAAAAAATCCTATTTTAGTACCCTGAAATAATAGTCCTTTCCAGCTGGAAAAGCAGCATGAGGAGTTTCTCAGAAGTGGGTTTGGAGCAGAGCTTAGAGGAAGGAAAATACTCCCCCTCAGTCTCCAACAAATGCAATTTTCCTTCTTTGAGTAACCACTGTCGTACCCTGTCAGGTTTTCAGCAGTCACATTGAGCGATCACACAGTGTTCAAACTCTTCCAAGCCAGAATAATTCCTTAGCAACACTGTCTGGCTCCAAGGCTGGAGAGGAGTGGAGCAAGGAATGCACCCTCAGGATGGAGAGGAAAAAAGGCACCGGGTCGGGGGAGGAATGTCCTAAGAAGAGCTGGCAGGTTTTTATTTGAATTGCAGCAAATAGGAACATGCATACCAGACCTTTAAATCTGGGCTGTGCTACAGTATTAGGGAAAACAGCTTTCAGAAGCTGGCGCTCACAAACCAAGTCTTAAAACACTTGAGAGAATTTTTAAAAGCAATGAATGTGTAGAATGATTCATTACTCAGTGCCAGCTGTTTCTACACTGACTTTGCCACTTTAAAAATGATTGCTACAAGTTAAAAATCTTTGGTTTGTGTCAGCTGGTGCCTTCAGGATGTCACCTTGAAACTGCAGGATGGTCAGAATATTCCCGTTTACCAGTCTCCGGTGGAAAGCATTGGTGTGCAAGAAGGCTAAAAATCAGGGACAGCTGCATCTCCGCCTCCCATTGAGCCCAAGTAGCCATTAATCGATTGCATCCTGCTGTGTCTGTGAATGTACACAGTTGTCACAAGTGACAGTTTCACTTAAGCGGGTGCTCTCGAGACAGTTTTCTCTCTTAAGATTGACCTCATCATTGTTGGAATTGTAATTTCTTTCTTTTGCTGGTTTATTCATGTGTTTAACAGAAGCCTAAAATAAATATCTTGCAAAAGAGTTGCTGTTGCAGAGAAGTCATGTGTTATGCCTTGTGTGTGCTGGTAATATGAATTTGAAATAAATAAACACACTGCCAGGAAACTGAGCTTTGTTTTACAGTAGCAGACCAATGTCAGGACAAGTCAGTTTCTCAAAGCTTTGAGTAGCCTTGCTGCCTCAGTTTCTCTCCATTTATCAACAAGATCTTGCCTAAACCAGAAAGGATGAAGCAACAAAGGTGAAGCTCAGCAGCAGCACCCTCAACTTCACTTTTCAGGTAGATTTGCACCCTCAGAGTTATCATTACAAAGCTTATGAGATAGCTGAGGCCACTCAACTTACAAATTCCAGGAAGAGGCTCACTGCTCATGCTGAAGTTTACCCAGAAGAAGCCACTGCTTCACACCAGCACTGCCTGACAAGTTCTGGAGAGGACATGTAAGGAGAAAAACACTCAGGAGGGTGCAGAACAGATGAAGGCACTGCCATGGTTTCCTCTGACTACCACAAGAGATTTTGACTGTTCCATCAGGTAGAGAATTCATCACCAAGCAAGCTGAGGACTAAGAAAAGCACCCCAAACTAACAAAAAAATCCCCCCCAAACCCAAACAATTTCAACTTCACCTGACACTGCCGATGCAAACAATTGCAAAGCCTGAGCACAGTCTAAGGCACAGAAAAATAGAAGTAACTGTCCTGTCTGTAGTAGAAAGTAATAGAGGAGCCCTTAAGAACGTCCAGACAAAAGAGTTTTTTGAATTCACTGTAAGAAAGATGCTTAATCAGGCTGCAGCTAGGGAGAGCCCAGAGCTTATACCACTCTATTCCCTGTTCCTCACCCCTCCATCTCTTCTTCCAAATCTAAGTCCAAGAAATTCACCAAGGACATAGGCACTGCAAAGGTTTTCAAGAGCCATGACTATTACATATAGAAGGGAGAGCTAGAGCAAAGAATTTTAAGAGAACAGTGAGCATTTTCTTGTTCAACAATGTCCCATCAAACTGTGCAAGGTGCCTTTTGAGCAAACCTGAAAAATAAATTCCTAATTAGAAAGGAGATGCTAAAGGGCCACAGCAAAGACATCTTGGATAAACAATTTTAGAATGAAACAATACACGTGTGCTTTAGTTTGAACTTCACAAAGAGCTTTCAGGATGAACAGCACTTGTGAGACCTGATCCAATCCACATAAAAGCCCAGCACACCAGGGAGAGGATTAGAATTATTCAGAAAAAGACAGCATTGTCCAGCTTTAAGACTGAAATTGCTGTTTACTGGGTTCACAAAACACAATCCAAATCAAATTTCATATGATATGAAAACATTAGCCTTGCACTACCACTAGCAAGAACAACACCTCAGGGATATGGAGATCTGCTGGCCACCTGGTGCCACAGAGCTTGATCGACTCTAGATTTTGGTCACTGAAGAAGTTTGGTGGGAAATCAAACAGCTGAAAAGAAAAAGCCAAATCAACCACTTCCCATCCATCAATTACCACTTTCTTGGATGCAGCTTTGATTTGTTGCTAATCTGCAAAGATACCATGGCTGTGGAGAGGAACCCCAGCCTGTTCAGTCCCTCCCTGTGACTGCACTGGGAGCATCTGGCACACATTGCCGTTCATCTGCCTTTTGTCACCTCTGCGTGCTCAGTAAGCCTGGGACCTGCAGTGGCTGCAAAGTGCTCAAGTGTCCAAGAAATCTGGCCACAGCCACCCCAGCCTACAGCACAGCATTTGCTCACCACCTCCCTGTCCCTTGAGCTGGCACACACAGCGTCCCCATGCTGGCTTCACAAGCTGCCGCACCACAACACCAACCACTGCCTGGCCCGGCTCCAACCCTGGCTTTTCTAGGCCTGGAGGAGTTTTCCCCACACAAACCTTACAAGTAACACTGGAGATTTTATTACCTTGCTTGGGGAAAGCAGAGCTTGCAAAGACGCTCCATCTCTCATTTTCTCCCCTGAGCACCCCTTTAACTTTGAGGGCTCTCAGTCACCTCAACTAACCCACTGGTTCCTCAGAGCTATGAGAATGGGCAGTATCATCATATCATACTAATGGGTCTCTCAATCAAATCTTAAAACCCAGAGAAGGAAGAAAGCAATGGGTGGAGCTGGAAGCCAGCAAAACAATGGACGGGGACACGAGGGAAATCATAAATAATTCCCTGCCTTTGTTTTACTACCTAGTAGCCAGCAAACACAGAATTTCTTGCTTCATGACCTTGAAGAACCTCAGAAGTTAATTCCTCTCCATGCTTGAGCTCTTTTAGGATGTACATATTCAAAATGAGAAAAAAAGCGTCAGGCTGTGTGTTCAGTGCCAAGAAGCTTTGGCCATGTGGCTCCCATTAAATACATCACAGCCGAAGGCAGCTGCTTTCCTAGAGGACACAGGTGCAGCAGTAGCAGCCAAGGGAGCTGGAACATGCCAGGAAAACAGGGAGAGCAAAGGTCTCAGAACCACCACCAGCAGCTGAAAACCCAAATAACTTCAAAAGGGCACCTGGGCACTCCTCTTGCAGTCTTTTCTTCTAAGGAGCACTGGAGCAAGATTAGGTTGTCTTTAGCTTCATCATGTCACTGAAACACTGTTTTGTTGTTGTTTGGTTGGTTTTTTTGTTTTGGGTTTGTGGGTTTTCTTGAGAAAATCTTTACCTTTTAAGAAAAGACCCTGGATCCCACAAAACACTTAAGGTTGGGAGGGACCTTGGGAGATCATCTACTCCAACTGCTTCACTCCTACCAGTCAGCTTGAACAGATGCCTGAAATCACATCCAGTCCGGTTTTAAAGATCACCAAGGGTGGAGACTCCACAGCGTCTGGACAAGCTGTTCCAGTGTTCAACCATTCTCACAGTAAAAAAAGCTTTTTCTTATATTTAAACAGAATTTTGTGTGCTTGAGGGTGTGCTCACTGTGTCATCCTGATACTAGACACTGCCGAGACATATCTGTCTCCATTCTCTTTACTCTGCCCCACACTGATCCCTCCCCAAGCCTTCTCCAATTCCACATCTCTCAGCTTCATTAACAGGTGCTACAATCCTTTAACCATCTTAATCATGTTCAGTATGTTAAATTTTTTTTTTTTAATTGGCTTGAAAATTTGTGCAGTTCCTTTTCCAGTTGTTGATGTGGTTAAAACAAACATCCTCTTCACGACCTTTGCTGGATTGCCTGTTTGTTTCTTATTCTCTGGTTTGATTTTAATAACTTCTGCCAGGCAGTAATCACCCTCAAGGAAACTACCAAGGTGGCAGACTATTCAGGGCAAGAATTTAATTTACAGCTGAGGAACGGCAGATACTGCTCAGCACTGTTGCAACACTTGCACCTATTTGAGTTGGAGCTGATGGGCACACAGGGGCCATGTAAAGCCAGATGTTTTGAAAGCATTGCCTTCAGAAAGGCTAAGTGGGCTGACATGTTCTCTTTGGAATATGTTTCTTCAAGGAGTGATAGAATTTTGTCCAAGTTATGGGCCAGTCAGTTCACTTCCTATTTGGGGCAGATGTCTTGCATTGCACAGGTTGTTTGGATTCACCTTCCATTTAGAAATGAGGATACATCCAGTTTTTTCCTACCATGTGCTTGACAAGCATCTTTCCTGCTTCTAAGTTCCCTGAGTTTTCCACAAAATTTACTACAAAGTTTCCTGCAGCAGGGCCTGTGCAGTCCTGTCATATCAGGAACAATGGAGACCTGCCTGCTCGTGGTGGTACTTCGGAAAATATATCACACCTGGCCAAACACCTTTGGTTCATTTTAAGTAGCACTAATCATATAAAAATACTAGACTAATGTAATTTCTTGACCAGTCTAAGGCAGTTTCTACTAATTTGCATTCCTAGAAGATTTAGGAGCAAAGGACCTTAATTTAATAACTTCTGAGAAACAATCTTTGCCTCTCCTTGCTTGGTAAGGCCCACAAGACCTTCCATGCAGCAGCCAGATCAACTGGACCTTACAAGATGCTACTGGAAAGTGGCAGATGGTAAGTGATATCCTGGTAGCTCAGGAGATTTCTCTGTGAGGATTAGTTAAAAAGCACCTTTGCAATTCAGTCTGTATTGCTGGCATTACAAATTAATTGAAGAGATGGGGTGCACCTGATTTTAATGCATCACCAACTTAGCTGCAATTCTACTTGTACAAGCAAGCAAAGACTCAATGTAATTAAGTTCTCTGTGTTTACAGGAAAAAAGATAATCCGTTCAAGTAGTTCCCTTTCCTCTCCTAATTTTGCAGTAATAACTCTGGCCCTACATGCTCTGTTTCACTTTGGTGAATCCTAACCTTTTCTTAATTAGGAAAGATTTTTATCACATCCATGTGTACTTTTTTTTTTCTTCCTGACTGTATTTGTTAATCCAAATGACATCTTAATTCAACATCTGCACCATGAAGAACTCTACAGTGGAAGCATATCACTTTAGTATAGAAAAGACTTTTGATGTGTTTTATATTTGCTGCATATATTGAACAAATGTGTGATTCAGAAAACTAAAATATCAGTAATCCTGCTAATGGGTGTTTCCCAAAGCACAAAGAACAAAAGACCCATCAGCTTTCAGAAAACAAAATTTAATTTATTGTAAAGTACTGTAAAAACAATCAGAAGTACAATGAACTGGCACTATTTCTTTAAAACGTTGAACTGTCTTCCAGGAACAACTCCTGAAATATTCAAGAGAGATCTTAAGCCACAGAGTAATGGGATGCAAGGCCCACCTCCCTCCCCATCCCTTGTGAGCACCACCAGAGGAGAATGGGCAGTGAACTTTTATTTGCATTTGTAACCAAACAGCTCTCAAGACTCAGGGGGTAGATCACAAACTGGAGTTAACCCTTTTGTATTTAGGGACCTGCACATGAAAATGTGACAAGACAAATCAAAATGCAAATTCGCCTCTCCCTTAAAGAGGTGAATACAGCAACAAGAGGAGACAACACTGTGCTTTTCGTTTGGACTTTGCTATTTATTTCAACAACTGAAAGAAGGCCTTGGACCTACCCCTCCTATTGATACAGTTCATGGCTCTTCCATGAATCACAGATAACTTTGTAGGAACATCGGCCCTTCCATTCCTTCAGCATCCTGCATCTGAGCACACAGCAGCCATGCAGCCCATGCTACAAAGGCAGCCAGCACAAGCTCAGTCTGGAGAGTGGGGACTGGGAGAGCATTGCCCACAAGGTCCAAGGAGCTGATTCTTTCTCCACAAGCAGCCCCTTGCCCCCATAAACACAGCAGCTTTTCCCAGATGACCTGTGCGCATACACACAGTACCCTGTATTCATGGAGCTGCAGAAACCAGCTGTTCCTCACAGCTCATGGCTTGTTCCCAGTCTTATTGATGTGACACTTACTTCACTCGGAACTGAGCTCAAACACTGCCTGCAACAGCCCCTTTCTACAGCTCAGGGTAAGACCACCTCGTTTGCAGCTTTACCCACACTCACAGTGGAACAGAAACACCCTCAAGGCTGATAGTCCTGCAGTTAAACAATATGGAAATTTTTCCCTGGTATAGGGTGAATCTAAGATGCCTTGTTTATAACTTACACTATTAAACTTCCACAACTTTATACAAATTCTTAATGACATTAAAAAACACTGTATAAAACCACCTTAAGGCACAAAGAGCTAAACAGAAATGCAGCCCACTGGAAATCTCAAAGCAGCCAATTCCAGAAAACCTGGCCTTGAAGTAAGTATGCATTTCATGTATACATGTTATGCTTCACTGTCATACATTAAAAACAGTGTATATAGGACAAAATGTATACTGCTCAGCACCTACTCTTCACCATTAATACCAGTCTCAATCTGAGACATGATCTGTGGTTACAAAGAGGAAGTGAAATGGGTATACATCTCTCAAATAGTTTGCTGTAGGCAACCAGATGTTAAACATTTATGTGTGCAACATATTGTTTTGTAAGGGTAGGGTGTGAACATGCTTCAACCTCACTGCTCTTCTCAACTTAGTAAAATAAGTATGGATGTGGGGGAAAAAAATGTCAAAATGGCAATGATGGAAGATGGGAGAAATTGCAGTCTTGCACAGAATTCCATGAATCAATGTCCTCTCACCCAAGCAATTTGTCTTGGGCAAATGACTGGAGAGTAAAAGAAAGACACCCATGACTGTACTGTCCTGCCTAACAAGGCTGAAACAGATCTGCATTGTAGGTAGGGTCAGCTCCTGTCTGTGTCCAGAAACATCCAGATACCACAGATATGCTGTTGGCTCCAAGATTCTCCTGCTGAGACCCAGCCAGAGCTGTCCAGCAACTGACTCCTTTCTCCAGAGTGTGAAAGGCATCTCTGCATTAGAATATAAAACACATCCAAACTCAGAACTGAGTGCCATGGGCTGTTTTCTTATATGAACACCTTTGAGGAATGAGAAGCTGCCCTACCTACATCAACACTCAATATGTAATTCCATAGGGGAAGAAGCTTGATACAGTTTAATTTAGGTGCAATTTCCCTGATGTGGCTTGATGTAAAGGCAGCCCAATCTCTGGCAATGAAGTCTTATGGAAAAACACCCATTTTCCCACTGCTTTTAGTTCAGCTTTCTTCTGTACTAGTGCTTTTCCCCCACCTTTCCAGCCATGCTGATCAATCACCCCAGTACTTCTGCTCTTATTAAGCCATTTAACTTTTGTGTGAAGGAGGAGCTGTAACATTAGCACAGAGCCCTGAACCCCTGTTCACTAAATGGAGTAAGAACATTTGATACATTTGAAATTAGAAAGTGTGTACCAACATGGAAAAAAAAGGGAAAAATTACCTCAAAAGTTTCTATTCACTGTTTTCTAGGAAGAAAACTTCTGTCAGAGTTTATTACAAAGGAACAGAATAAGGAAACCAAATAAATAGTTGAATAGTTAACAGTATGCAATATAATAGTACTAAACTTCCATTACATAAAAATTAAACTTTGGAACAACATCAGTATGAAAGATTTCTTAGAAAACTAGGACTCAGTCCAAGATCCTCAGATCTGTACACTGCAAAAACCACTCAGTTTTGATGCCCAGTTGGTGGCAGCTTTGTCCTCTGAGGGACTGCATCCATTGAGAACTATGACCCATCCATACTGCTCCCTAATCCCACTCTGCCCAGCCACATAACATGCTGTATTTCCAAGTGTCTAAGGGAGAGTGACCAGGAAGCAGGAGGCATGAGCTGTGCTTCACTGTTTCAGAAGAAGCAGTATCTTCTTCCTCATCTGACAGCTATATTGAACAATAGCAATTTAGCCTAAGGATGTTCCTTTTTTTCCTTAAAGCAGCAGTTAGAGGAACAGAAATAAGGCAGAAATGACTTCATGATGCCAGTAAAATCCCAGGTGGTCCTGGGGGAGGTGGAATCAAGGGGTGATTAGCTGGACAAACTGTCTAACCTAACATGGTAAAGTCAGTGGAGAGAACTTCAATAACTTCAGAGGAGCTACATCAGACTGTTGCTCTTTTTTCCTCTCATCAGCACTGTGTGGCCACACTGAGCAGGATTCTATTGGCACATCTCACCCAACACAGGAGGTGAAAGGAACAATCTCTGCTGGCTCACAAGTGACTGAAATAAGCAAATACATCACATTCAGGAGCAGGATTTTACTGTGCTCCCAAATCAGATGTAACACCAATACAGATTTCTTTATCAGTGGGGCATGTGCATCTCTGCCTAGAGAAGCTCAGCTCACTGTTCAGCTGCACACCAGAGAGGTCTGGGTCTTTGACCTGATGTAAACAAAGAAATACACACAGGATGATCTTGAAATCTGTATGTCAAACCAGGTGATCAAATTCTCCTCTCATACAAGTTTTAGATAAGCAGATAGTTCCACTGAAGTCAGGAGGCGTTTGAAGAAAACCCAGCATTATATATTTGCATTAAATACCAAAACATATCCTAAAATACTCCTATTGACATCTGTCACCAAAACACTTCCAGTGTCAACTTCTCAAGAACACTGGAACAATTAACAAAAACTCTTGTTACCAATCAAAAACAACATCAAAAAAGAAATAAAAATTAAAAACAAAAATAAGCTTATCCTCTTTGTTAAATTCCTGCCAGACACATGAAATCTTATCAGTTCCATGAAAATAAGAACTTGGCACATTTTTGTTGTATGCCATTTATAAACACTTTCTTTTATCTAGAATATTTATTGCATATCAGAAATTCACTTGTCTAGAATACTTTCGTTTAGTAGAAAAAACTGCCTTCCAGTTATAGCTATGAAGCTCCACACAGTTCAGTAAATGAATTCTCCTGGTATTTCCTGCAGTAATGGTTCCTCAAATTTAAATCGTTTGGAAATGGCTTTCTGCTCAGTTACTTTTTCTTTTTCTGACTGCCTACATTGTCCCAGTGTATATGAAGCCACTACAATTAGTTCTTCTGTCACTATTGATTCTTCCTCTCCAGTCTTCTCAGCATCTACTGATTGTTCAGAGGCAGAATCCGCATCTTTCTGGATAGCATCACTGGTCTCCCCTTCTGTACTCTTATTCAAGGCCCTGCAAGCAGGATTATCACTTTGTTCTAACCATGGATGTTGAAGACATTCTTCAGCAGTTGCCCGGTCCCTGCAGAGGAAGGAAAGTATTAAAATAAATATGCAAATGAATACAAAATTCAGAACCTTGCTGAAGAGATCCCCAAAAATTATTCCAAGGATATGACTGTATTAAAGACAGATAGAATTGTAGATTAAAAAAACATACTGACACCTATCTTTTACCAAAAAAGACCACAGCAGTTCAAGTAGATGAACTCCTAGCATTTAAAACAAAGAAATTCGTAGATCCCTAAATATGAGTTTATGCTTCCATGTTGCCAAACAACTTCTGAAATTTATACTTTTTATATATAGAAAACTTATCCAACTTTTACATTCTTCAGTTATTCCCAGAGACAAGCAGTAGGCAATTTCAATAGCTGGCATGTCCCATGAAGAACTGGTAAAGTTCCACAGTAAACACCTGTTTTATTTGGGAAGCAGGAATTTCCAGTTTGCTACCCATTAAGAAAAGTGTACTAGTGAACAGAAAAGGCAAGGTTCTCTACCAACGCATCCAAAATTAAGGACTCAAAGCTCAGTTCATTTAAGACTTCAGCAAAGTACCTGCAAGAAGAATGGGTGCACTGTTCACTGCTACGAACTACAGTTCAAACAGTTTTCTGAAAGTAATTTGAGTTTTAATTATTGACACTTGGACATCATTTGGAATATACAAGCTTGGATGGAAATGGAGGAACTATCTTCTCATATACATAGTAAGTAGTAATACAATGAAATCAAAGTCCCCTTATACTTTAAAAATTAAAACACTAGCACTTGCTACACTTAAAATGAAGTCAGTCTGACATATTAGCATATACAATTGGGTATTTTACTTACTCAGGTTTCTTAACCAGCAGAGTTTTGATGAAATCCACAGCAGACTCTGATACAAGGTCAAAGTCCTCTCCAGAGTAACTTACGTTCATTTGAGATATATTTAAGAATGTTTCTTGTTTATCATCCCCCAAGAAAGGTGATATCCCTGTCAGCATAACATATGCCAGTACTCCAATGCTCCTAAATTAAAAGTAAAAAAAAAAAGTTTTTTAATTAGCCTTTTTTTCTTAAAGGTAAACAAACAAATCCCCAAAGAACAACCCTTTTCAGTAAAGCTGTGATGACCATTTATTTGTTACACTTACCACATATCAGTTGCTGTACTGATTGGATCATAACTCAGAATTTCAGGAGCTATTCAGGGGAAAAAAAAAATGAGTTTTGTCATATGCAGAAATTACATTAGAGCTAAAAAATGTGATAATGATCATGTGGTAGAATTTAAGATAAGCCATTTGAAGAATGACAGTCTTTTGAAATCAAGATACTTCTGTTCAGGTTATTTAAGTGGTTTCTATCATTCACTGTTTTTAAGTGAAAAAATATGTTTTCCTTTTATTGTCATCTTCAGAAGCCAGGCCAGTCTCCTTCCCAGTTAAGAAATCTATACAAATTTCTTGCAGACAAAACAGAAATAGCCAACATTGCATATTCCAGCACTGTAACCCATAACTATGAAGATATATCACACAACTTAAAGATATTTTCAAGTATATGTTCAAGGCCTGGAGTGGTTTGGGCTTTAAAAAAAAAAATAAAATAGAAAACTTAATACTTGCTAAAACATTGTATTCAGAGACTGAGTATGTGAATTTAAACTTTTAATCCAAGTAATACTTGTTATCACTACTGGTAAGAATTGTCTAAAGCAAGTCTTCATCTTCAACATAAGCACACAATCATAGTTCATTAGACTGGCAAGACTTGCCAGTCCTACCTTTGACAGCAGTAGCATGTCCAAGCAATAACTGGATCTTGCAACACAGCAACTACACAGCCAGGTTGGCATGCTCCACATTTGCTTTTTGCTCCCCAGAAGCCTGGACTAGTCATCATTCTTATAGTAACAACTTACCCACATATTCTGGAGTTCCCATGATTTCTCTTAGCTCCTCACTGCTCTTCATTATTCTGGAAAGGCCAAAATCTACTATCTTAACATCTCCCAGAGGAGACTTACTGGTTAGCAGAATATTTTGGGGCTGAAAAACAAAAGGACACTTTTGGGATCACCCAAAACTAATGACAATAATGACAATAATGACCAAAACTATGACATCATACTTCATAATTATTTTAGACCATGAGCAGCAAGAGTGTCTCTTGTGATAAGTATGATATCCTGGATCATTTATGTAATTCCCTCAAGGGGATTTTGAAGAGACACGTAGGCTAAAAGGAGTGGCAGGATTTTCCATTTAGAATTGAGAATCAAACCTTTGTTAGCTTAGAACACATTGGAAATACATGCCAATAGCTGACATTTAACAATAGCATGTGAGCACCTCCACACTTGTACTTTTAGTCCTTTGTATCACCTATTTTATTCCTCTTCCCTCCTTGACTCTTCCAATAGGTGGTGTAAAATACCTCCCTTTGAAGGGTGTCCAAAAACACCCAATCATTTTAAAAACCCTGAACACACAAAACTATTTTGACTGCACCTGTTTAAAAGTCTGTTGCAACCAACCTGAATACTGTTCAAAGTACAAACAACTGCATTACAGAATACTAACTGAAGAACAGTTTAAAAAAAATATAGCAGCCTGAAAAACAGGTTTTTAAGAGCATCACCTTTGGATAAACTTGTTTGCACTGACGTCACCAGATCTTGGCTGTCTTCCTTCAAAGCACCTTTGTGGTCATTAAGAAGTTCCTTACTATTTTAAATGCTAGCTCAATTTAATAAAAATTTTTGCAACTGAAGCATATTGTTGCAAAAAAAAAAAAGAAAAAAAGAAAGTTTGACTTTCCCTACCTCCAGAACAGTGATTACACTGGGTTTTATCATTAACTTCTCCAAGTGGTACTGCTGACAACTGACACTGCATTCATGCTTCTAATGAGCCCAAGTTACATAAAAGTGCAGGAGTCTTTATTGGGGACCTGGATCATCTTACATCAGGGTGGTTGAAAAGGGAGGACAAAAGAGTAAGAACAGCAAAGCAACCACTGATTGATAATCCAGCTGCAGTAACACCAACATTTATTCTTCTTCCCTAATCACAGAGATGCTCTGTCCTCCATCCCCAGAGTCACTCATGACAACAAGCTCTCACATTAACAGCCTTGATTTTGAATACAGAAAGAAACCTGGGCAAGAATGTTTTAAAAAACTTGGGCCAGTTCTCCTCACTGCAAGACCTGAATATGGTCAAGTTTTTTGATTCCTTCAGAGTAAACTGTTATTTGAAACTAACTCCATGATGTTGTCAATTTATTTTCTGTTTGTAAACCTACATATTAAGAATAGCTCTTTTTTTATTTTCTTTACAAATTGGGATCTGGTGGCAATACAAAGGCTTTTGGAGCTGCACATTCCCACATTCTTTATAGTTCAGATTTGTTATTCTCTATTTGTATTAGAAAAGAAAACATCCAAAAAAGCTGACCATGCCTCCCTCATTAGCCTCTCAGATGTTATTCCCAGTGAGAAATTTAGTTATGTTGTGAAGAGTCAAATTAAAAGCATGAGAAAAGTATTTTTTCTCTATATTTAAATGAGGAAAATTTTTTAATGGAAAAGTTTTGTGAAACCCTTCAGCCCTCTATTTTAACATTTTAACAGATAAAGCAGTTGCCAGAAGTAGTTTTTACTGGTTTGGGGTTTTTAAAATCTTATTATACAAAACACACCTATGCAGAGAAAACCCTGTCTACAGTATGAATTGAATCATAACTCTAAATCAATTCTTAATGAAATACCAGTTATTTTTTTTATTTTAAGGAATCATTATGGGATTCTTGTCAAGTGCCAGCCTAAACACCAGCATGAAACCTTGAAGAAGCCGTAACTTTGAACTCCCCATAGTTTTCAGCTCGACAACATTACTCAAACTTTAAGGAAGGGAAGATCATTTCCTCACATCTGCAATACTGTTTCTCTTTTGGTTTTACTCTGCTACAAGACATCTAGGTTTGCCTAATACCAGTCAGTCCACAAAGACAGGAGATGCCGGCTGGAGGCTCTCCTGATGGCCATTCTAAAAAGGGTCCTTCACTTTTACCCTCAAGCACTACTGAAATTGTTGATGGAAGCCATCAAATGGCAATGTTTGGAGACCTCTCCCTCTACTGCAGCAAGGTTTAAAGGTTCCATTTAGATCCTCTTATTTCTTGTATCTTCAGTTGGTTTCAAGAAGATACATAAAGACTAAGGACACACATAAAGGTTCTGGTTTTAATCTAATCAATGCTTCACCTTACCTAATTTCATTAATGCTGCAGGTTATCTAATTATATGATATTCAAAAAACCTCAGATCCCTAGAAGAAAAGACAGGAATTATCCAAGAAATAATGGTCAGAAACAGGAAAAATAGACTAGCTGAGATACCCCAGCATTATGTCTTTAAGATACTAAATGAGGCTGATTCTAAAACAAGTGAAGGAGTCCCATATCTTCTTCCTCAGCCCCCACACCTGCTTAAATTCTCTCACATTCCCTACTACCTTAAGCTTTTACCAAACACCAATTCAAGATTAAGTTAAACAGCAAATAAGAACTCATAGAGACTTCCCTTACTCTGCAGCTTTTAAGCACCATTAAGAGGAGATGAAAGACTCCTGACTACAATCTGTGCACACCCTACAAATTAAATAGCATTAACACAATAATGCCAAGTGATAATTAATTTGCACTTGGTTGCATTATATTTTCTCTTCATCCAAGTCAAAACTAGGCTACATAATTGTATTTTGCTATTAAAAACAAGACACATTTCAACCATCTTTCAGTAGAACCATGCTTTTGGAAATAAATGATCAGGTGACAACCTTGCTAAGCCACATCCAAATACCCCACTTCTTTCTGCAGTGTTTAGTCTCAGTAAAAATCTTGTATCTATTCAGAGGGCAAAGAGAAACTAAAGCAAGGTGGCTGTAAGTGTCATAGATCTGGTTCTTTAGATTTATAGTATAAATATTAAGCTGACAATTACATATAGACAACCACTTGGGTTTAAATTCTTCTGGGGGTATAATTTAACTTTTTTTTGAAGATGCAACATATAGAAAATTGGATGGACTTTAACAGACAAATGAAATGGAAATCTTTAGAGACACAAAGGTGAAACTAATAGCACAAAAAGACCCATTTTAGCAAGAATTTGTAAACTTTGCTATTGGCAAACACAATGCATAGCAACAGTAAACATACAGAAGTTTTCCAAATGTCATCACAAACAAAGTACTTAGGAAATTCCACGGTGCTTTAAGCGGCAAGTTAAAGTGGCATGAGACACATGATACAACAGAAGATGAGGACTGTGGCTTAATAAATACGTGGCTGAAGCAAGCACCCAACTTTTTGAGTTCTGTCAAAAATGGGCCTTTTTTACAAGTGTTAAAAGGCATGTGAATCTTTGCAAGTCATGGGTTTTAATTCTATCATTTCCATCATTTTCATTTGCCAATACTCTGAAGACTTCCATAAACCTTTTTTTGCAAAAGATAGTTTTATGTATCATGAAAGTCATCACACAGCAAGTAGGACTCCAATTAAACACACATTGCACACTGCAGTAATGTATAAACATGTTCATTAACCTCAATCACAAAACAATTTCCTCTGCTAATGTATTTCTGTGAGGCAGCAAAACAATGCTGGATTTTTCAGTGAGAGCTGCATATACTCCATGTTAAAGCATAAGTTTTCTGACCAGTTGGAAAGTTTTTAAGCTTTTTATAAATTTATTTTCCAGACTAAATCTGTAATCAACAAGTCTACTTTTGCAAAGAAATACTGTAGACATATAAAACACATCACATTTCCAGTTACAGATATCCAGCTGATGATGCTAAGAAACACCACAACTTTAACTACAAACATATATAAATATACACTGTCTGCAAAAGACAATTAATTTTACCCACTTTGCTTAAAGGAAATTCAGTGGCAAACCATTGAAACTCTGAGAATCTTGTTTAAGCACACTGGAACTTTGAGGAGTTCTAACTGCTCATTTTTAGTCTTTCTGAACACTTATTCTCACATCATTTGCTAAAAATGTTTTATTAATTCTTTCAGTACAATTATTAATATTCTGTGTGTATGACTCAATCAGAATTTTAAAGAATTCCACGTAAAATTTGAATAAATGTTTGGAAAACCAGGCAGGTGACCTATATGTGTGCAAATATGACTCATTTACTTTAGCTGATGAATGGTTCATGATGTGCTAAGCTATATATCAAGCACATACAGCTTGGTACTGGAATCTACTGGTAAGCTTACAATAGTGCCAAAATACAGCTAAGCATAAGTAAGGATCTCAGCAAAAGAACAAACATGCAGCAGCTTACAATATACTTAGTAAATATGAGATTAGGACATGTAAAAATAATTTAAAAAAATGTATTGCAAGTTACTTTTTAGATTGCCTTGCTTAGTAATAAACTACTTCAACCTCATAATGAGATACAGTTGCATCTTCCATATGAGTGCATGGATAGAAGCTAAATAAAATTCACTGGAGCTTGCTGCCCATAGATGAAGATAGTTCTCTGGTCCCCCGTTACAACTCCCATTTTGACCATAAGATTTCATGTGATGGCAACTGTACTTTTCACTTGATTTGGGTCAAAACTATATTTCAATAAGAAAAAATACTTGTTTCAGTATATACCAATTATGTGTCAGCCAACTCTGTCAGCAAATGACACACATTTAAATTAGGTTTTACAGTAACTGGGAAAAAAAGAGGAAGAAAATGCTATAAATGTACTTAATTTACTAGTCCTGTTTGAATATTTCATTCTGAAACATGATACTTTATTCCAGCAGTGTCACTACCACCCTTCTTCTTCATTAAAACTCAAGTCAATGCAAAAATCAAACCTGGTTTTCAATGGCCATATAATACCCAGACATTTTTACTGCAATGTAGAAATGAGTCAGGTCTTACCCGAAGCACTTATTTGCAGTTTAAGGTACAAGGCAAATTGACTTTTGAATTGATCAATTTTCAGTTAATATGATTTCAGTTAATCATATTAAGTTTATATTTAATATAATAATAGAAACCCCCCAAAAGACTTGCAAATCTGGTGGCTACTCTATCCCAAAAGTTTAATTTTATCATTCAAGGTATAATTAGGTAAAATCATGTTAATTGCAAATTGACATTAGTGTGATATATTACCAGCAAGAAAGTCAACAGATGAGAAAGCAATTAAGAAAAATACAGCAGCAATCCTACCTTTAAGTCAAGATGAACAACATTGTTCCTGTGCAAGAATGAAACTCCTTCTAATATCTGCTTCATAAGTCGCTTAACATCTTTTTCTTTGAAGGCTTCCTCTCTTTCAGCCACACACTGGTCAAAGATTTCACCTCCAGCAGCACTGTGGAACAGTAGAAGTACTGTTAGTTCAGAGACTAAGTTACAGCACCCATTTGGCCCTATTCACACTTTTATTTTTTGTATAGGCAATATCAGCAGGAGGTATAATCCAACTGTTATATTTTCAGTTATTAGAAATTTGGCAAGGTTTTACAGCCTTGGAAGCGTTTTCTGCAGTATGGTAGCTTTGGAAAGAGGCAAAGATTTTAGTCATTTGGGTTAGAGAATATCAATAATACAGAAATTTTGGTGATTACTTTTGAAACACTACTGACTTTGGTTTCAGATGAATGCCACAATTGTTTGAGGACAGCATTTTCATAGAAGATGTGCCTTTTGCTATTCCTATCAAACTACATGGAAATTTGGCCAAGGCAAATCTTTGCAAACATAGAGCAAAGCAGTCCCACCTCCCATCCTCCTCAAAACACTTTGCACATACTCAAAAGAATAAATGTAAAGTCTCCAATTGAATTGTTTATGAAGTCTCTGGTATACAGGGATGCATTAAGTTTCTAAACTTCTTTCATCTAAAAATAGCTCAAAAAATTTTAGCTCTCAGCTTGTGTCCTCTTTTGTTTATATATATTTAAACAAATAACAGAATAACAAAAAATATAAAAGTAACTAGATTTGAATGAATGTTTTTAAAGTACTCCGAAGCTACATGCAGTACCAGCTCTGTACAGCAATGGCTCTAGAGAACTAAAATTGTTTTACAACATAACTCTGTATTATCAGAAGTAAAACAAACTGAACAGAAGCTCCATCTTAAAACAAGAACGGGCATAAGAATGTTAGAATGGGGGGCCACTTTGCATATGGCTTGTTGAACTTCTTCTATGAAATCAGCACACACACCCCCTTTGTTCTGCATGCAATTCCATAATCACCCCTTAGGGAAAGGTGGTGAAACCCTCAAGGGCAGAATCCTCTCCAGTTACACCAAACCGTGACATGCAAAAATGACTTTGCACAAGAATTATTCGTTACTGATGCCTACGCATCTACTCTGCCTCTGCTTGCTTTTTTCCAATGAATTGTACTGCCTAGGCTATCCTGAAGACAGCCAGGTACGTTCAACATGAATATAACAGCAAATGAGAATTCTACAAAAATGATGCATTTCAATTGTGTGCCCCCAGAAAAAGAACACTAAAATATACTCAAATTTTCACTTTGCCTATACTAACTTTGCTGCTACAGTTCTAGCACTTTCAAAAGCCTCATGGATTTAAAAAAAAGTTTTCAGGGGTCCAAGGTATTCTCACTGCTATTATTTTAAAATTTCTACACAAATGGTTTTACAAAAAAAAAATAAATTAAAAGAAGGTTAAAGCTTAACATAGTCTAAAGAGTTTTACACTTCTGTCCTACATGCTGGCTAACTGGTACAGCAATATAATTTGATTTATTAAACTAAGATTTTCTTTCAAAAAACCCCTCTATTAAATAATTATTTTTCTGCATTATATATCAAAGATAATAGAGCTCAAGAATAAGTTTTTCAAAGGAATATTAATACTATAATTCCTTTAGAAAAATTTAATGTGCCCAACACTATCACATCTTTCTTCAGTCCATTTTTATTTTATTCATGGAAATAGTAATATTTCAGCTTTGAATAGGATTAAAATATTAATGACATTTTTAAAATGAAGATCAGCTAGTGTGTTCTAATATCCTAAACCAAATTCCTTGAAAAAAGAACATCAGTTGGATTTTCCAGATAAGAATAGAAAAAGATCTACTGCAACCCATAAATTAAACTGTCTGCCTTAAGAATGCCATAATACGTTACTTGAAGAGTGATTTAATTCCTTGTAGTAGTGAATTATAATGCATATACAGTGATAAGATCTACTACAAAAATTACTAACAATATATGTTTTATAGCAATAACTCTGGGATTTTGCTGGTAAAGCTCTGTCTCTTCAAATAAGGAAAAAATACTTCTGCTATTTAATTCAGTGAAACTGGATTTATACCCAAAACATGGGATCAGACTTTACGTTTAATAGACCAGCTGAAAAAATAGTGGAAGTTGAGGGTGGGGGGGCTTATAAAGCCCTGCTTTATGTCTATTTGGTAGGCATCTGTTACAATTTGTTTATTAGTGTAACTTAATTAAAACAGAGGTAAATACCAATGCTAAAAAGTAGGCTACCTAGAATTTTAATATGACACTTAAAGAACTCTGAATTATAGGTGTTAAAAGGCAATAAAAGCTGAAGCAATGTCCCATCAGTGAAATCAAGTGCTACCAATGTGAGAGTAGAAAACCCTTGATCCAGAAACTTTATTTTAAAAAAAATAAAAATATTTAAGTCCCTCCCTGTACTTCTGAAGATGCCAAGGCTCATCAGCATTTTTAAGAGCACACATGCACACCCACTTCATAACTTAAGAGACACTGCCATTCTCAGCTACCAGAGACACTTGGCTTTACAAAATAGTTTCACATGGGAAGGTGACTTCACATGCAATGTTTTGGTTTTTGATCTGAGCTTGCTATTTAGGATGCTGATGGAACAGCTCCTTCTGGACAATTCATTCTGTCCAAAAAATACCACATTCAAACAAGTAACCAGTAACCCTTTACAAGAACACATGGAAATTTGATACTGCAAGACTGCTTTGTGTATTGTTGCTGTGGAGTGAGCTTAACGGATTCCCTTAAGCAAAACAGTCAGGCAGCTGTGAGCCAAGCCAGGCACAAGTGGTTGGAAGCACAATGTCAAAATGAACTCCCAAAAAGATCCTCCTGCACACCTATTCCAGGTTTTGCCAAGGTCTTTAACAATACTTTCACTGTCAGCTATTTTGTATTCCCAAGCTAGATTTCAGGGGAAAAAAAAATCTAACCATAGAAGGGCTCAAAATACTTGCTAGGAAGATATCATGGAATGTCACTGTTATGATTTCTGTATATATGTAGACCAGGAGTTCCTCTAGCATTAATAATATTTACCCATTTTTAATTAAACTGTAGTTTTTCTAACTGCCATTATGAAATAACTTAGCAAATGGCTGGGCCAGTCAGAAAATGTTCTTAGGGGACAAAAGCAAAGAATTATCTTTAGGACAACAAAGTTCTTAGGAAAACAAGCCATCTTAATTTGAAAAAAAAAAAAAAAGATGATAAGGACATATTGAATGGCAAAACATTTTGAAATCCAGTGTTACTTAGAATGCATTATTTCTCTAGTACACCCTTCCCTAGCTAAGTTTATGAAAAAATGTGAGACAAAAGAAGGCTTTCCACACTTGAAAGCTATGGTAACCATAATTCTTTAGTTATTTTCATTTACGTATTAAAAGTACTGTTGTGCCATTAATTTCTCTCATTTCAAGTGAAATCCAACTCCTCTTCATGAATGAAAAGCATGCTAACACTTTATTATTACTTAGCAGCATAAATGAGCTAAAAGCCATTTGAAAGTCTAGAGAACTAATATTTGTTACAATTATGTTGACTTTAGATTAAATGGAGACTACTTTATCTTCCTTGAAATATACTTTAACAATGAACTGTATGAAATTTAGCATCAAACTTCTTTCAAGTGCACTTATGAGACACTAACACAGTAATTTAACTTGTCATTAGAAAAAGATTGAACAAACCTATTTCAGGTCACCTGAAGAAATGAAGCATTCCCCCAGCTTTAATGGATCAGGCATTAAGTTAGTGTTCTGAAGTATGCAAATCACAAGAGTACAGACATGTAGACCAATTCCTAAAATAAACTTGATTTCAATGCTGAGTTATATACAGTCTGCAATGGGCAAAAATTTACTTCCTGAATATTCAACTTTGTCAAAAGTCTTTCTTGAAAGGGTTATCTCTGCAAGGTAATGGAAAGTCATCTACTTTCTGTACATGGAACTTACAGTACAAGCTGCTCACACCACAGTGGTTGTAACACTACCAGCAAAGGTTCATGCTCACTGCTGCTGACAGCCATACCTCTTTCCTTGGCTAGGCATACCATTGGATAGTAAGTGCTCTTACTGGTAATGTTTCCACTGTAAGGCAATGTAATGTACCAATGTCCCCAGAGCCTGAGAAAACTGTAAATCCATATCTGATAAGAGGTCATGGGAAGAGAAGCATCCAAATATATAAAATTGTAGATAGTGGTCTTAGAAGTTCTCAGTTTTCAAACAAATGGGTTTTTTTTGCCTTCACCTTTCCAAACAGGCAGCACAAAAACTGAAACACAAAGAAAGGTAACTAAGACCATTCAAGAAGTTTTTCCCTGAATTTTTTTTAGACCTTCAGTCTTGATTTGAGACTGCTATCTAGAACAACTCTGCTTGCTACTCAAATAGACAAGATGCAAACATTGGAGCAGCAGTTATTTGTGATTACAGAAGGTCTGCTTCAAGTTCTGTCTGTTGAATCCCATGCCAAATGGATCACTTCCTGCCAGCAGACTCTTGTTTTATCCAGTTACACCTCTAAGTAGGAGAATAAATCACATCCAAGGCTATATAAGTCCATTAATATTAATGAACATGTAAGTCCATCGCATTATCCTGGTCCACATAACTGCAGGTGAAAAAACACTTCATCCAGTGTATTAAATAAATACTGTGTCTTCAAGATGATAAAGACAACTTCTTCTTTTTAAAGCAAGCATAACAAAAGTTTACTGTACTTACACAAGGCTCTGGCTCAGTTCAGAAGCTCTTCATAACAAAATATTAATGATGAAGATTTTTGAAGCTCCATTTACAGGTTTCTATACATTTGACCCACTAATTACCCACTAGTATAATCTATCCCTTCCATAGATATGTAAAAACATGGTGATGAACATTTATGAAAAAGACTGGTTCTTAAGCATCAAATGCTCTACTGATCTTTCTTTCAAAAGAAATTGGAAGATAACAGGTAGGTTGCATACATGTATCGAACCAAAAAGTTACCAAATTTGCTTTTTTCTTTTAATACCTGATATATCAAGTTTCCCAGACTGTACCTCTATCTTCTTCAGCAAAATTCCAGGTTCTTTTCATTCAATTTTCAGTGAAATACAAAACATAACTGACCCACAGATAAATTTCAGGCTTTTTGTTACCCCTTCAGACTTATTTACCCCTTCAACTCTGCCTTAAATACCCTGACTGAGGTCCTGATTGAGGACAAGAAACCAAAGTCAGAGACTGTTGAGGGTGGATGCAGACAGCCCCAGTTTGCTGTACTACAGCTGATGCCAACACTGTAATGTCTCCTTGCTTCCCACTGTTCAACACTTAATATTAACACAGCCAATTTTAACTTTGTTTTCTGTCAAAAACTGATAATGCTTGCAAGACAACCCTCCATGTAACATTAATATTTCTCTTCCTGAAAGCAAAACATTTCCTGAAGGCAAAACCCTCAGTCCTTATGACAGATTCTACATCAAGACAAGAAACTTTAAAATTTTAGCAGATGAAGTTAGTGGCCAAAATCAAGTATTTGTTTTACTTCTTCAGGAGATAAAGATCTGCCACAAAGACCATCAGGCTTAATAGAAACTGAAATGCCCTAGAGAAGCTTGCAGTCTAGGTATGTTCTTTAATCCTCCGCATACAGAATGTCAGAAATTCACTAACATTCATACCTGTTTTGTTGCAACATGTCTTTGGAACATGTTGACATTAAAGAAGCATCCAGACATACTTGCTGAAGTCAGGGAAAGACTGTCTTTGAAATTTACAACTCCAGCACACAGCTATTTATCTGAAAAGAGGTATGACTGTTTGATGCATATAAACCAAATAATTTTCCTAATTACTTAACAACCTAGTTAATACTTCAGATTAAAAGTTTTGCAACTGTAAGAAAACTGAGTTCTAAAAGAAAACTAGGGATTTTGCATTGAAATTATCACAAAACTCATTGCTCATTTAGAATCCACTGCTCATATTAAATCCTATGAGATCTAGAAAATGAAACTGTGTTTGAGTTTCAATTTCTGCTAGTGTTTAAAGCAGGTATTTATGAGTCTTCAGCAGCAGCAGTTAAAACCCCAGAAGCCCTGTCACACCTATGTATTATAAAAGATACTTCTATCTTTTCACATATTTCACATATTATGACTTCATTAAGGGAACAATGAAGTTTAAAAAATGTATTCTAGAAGGAATTTTGCCTTAGGAGACACGGTCTCATTCCATTTCGCTGAGCTTTGAAGATACAGTTTCTTTTGACTTCTAAACAAAATGCGATTGGGGTGCAGGATTTCTCAACATTTATTTTTGCTATCAAGTAAGAGAAGAGCTGCACAAACTAGATTTATCTTAACAGACAAGTCACTTCTGAACTATTGAGCCTCACTGTTCCTCTCCTAATTTAAAATCCATAATGCTTAACAAGAATTTAGAGCTAAGTAGCAACAAGCATTTGGCTGAATCTCGGAAGCTAGCTAGATGCCTTACTATCTAAAGCCATTGGCATATGAAATGAACAGTCACAACAGCTGCAGGAATACCCATCTGGACAAACAAGTGGAGAAAACCACACAGACAAATGTAGAGTCAAGCATCCTTTGAAAGAAACCATTCTAAGTCCCAATCCACTCCCTTTCTTTCCCTAAAAAGATACTCTTTAAGCAATTGTGTAGGGTTTTACTAGTTTCTTTTCAGCAATGATGTTGCTTTCAATACCATTTTTTATAACAGGTAAAAAAAAAACCACAGCAGATTTCATCCCATCTTTGCCAATGTCAATGGAATAAACTTTGGTTCTTGAACAGATACTCACTGCTTCTTTTCTCTTCCTCTTTTACATGAAGGGAGTGTACAGAGTTCATATTTTATTAAAGATGCTTTAACTACATAAATTATAGTTCAGCTTTGAAAGACACTACATAATTAGAGAAATCTGTTATAATCTGAAGTAGTTATGAGACTGTACATAACTTCTTGTAATCATAACTTTCTTAGTAATTCTTCTTGAAGTTAAGCAAGGGTAACAGGCAACCAATGAAAACTTTTACATTGTTCACACTGATACACAGTGTTTTCACATTATTATTTTTAAGCGAATACTGCAGAAAGTTATTCAGGAATTATTACTAATACTTACTATTCCAGGACTAAAATCATCTCTGTTGCAGTTTCATAAACTTCATGCAAGTTAATGACCCAAAGGTTGCATTGTGCCAGCTCAAGGACCGCAATTTCGTGGATTATTTCCATCCGACAGTCTTGGCCCTTTCTTCTTTTTCTCATGAATTTTGCTGCAAACTCTCTTTCAGTGTCTTTCTGGATACACTTCTTCACCACTGCAAATTTTCCCCTGAAATTAAATAAGAATTTAGTTTTACATGCCTTAGTGACAGCCTTAATACTGAATTTTTAAATTAATGCTTTGGGAAACTTGAACCAAATCATTACTAATGGGTGCATTTAAGATGCAATCTGAATTCAGAAAGATGCCTTGCTGAGTGATGATCCCCAGCCCAGAATGTAAATAATCTCCATGAAACATAAGGAAATAAAAAAAAAACCAAATCAATTCAAACAACGTGGTTTTCAAAAACACAGAATAAACAAGCTGTGCTAGTTCCCAAGATTACATTAACCTCAAAACTTTAATTAAAACAGCTGGCAAAATCAAAATGTAAAAATGAACAATTTATGCTTTCTCTGACTACCTCACAGTAACCCAGTTACTGTTTTCTGAAGTATCCCACCATATCCAAGGCAACAGCACTCTCATTGAATCCTGCTCCATTTGCCATGCAATATCCATACTCTGCATTTTTCAAGATGGCACTTTGTATTTTTACCATGGCATGTCTCAAGTGATAACAGCCATCAAAAAACATAATCAGAGTTAAAACAGAGTTTCTTGATTAACAGCTCTCAAAACCCCCTACTTATACTGTGAGACTAAGGAACACGGGTAATTTAAATACAGCAAAGCAGCTTGACCAACATCAAGCTCTGCACCACAATTTTTGCAGCAATGCCAAGGTGAATAGGAGCACCGAGAGCAGAGAGCTGAGCACTGTGCTTAGCCCACATTAATGAGCGTCACCTCGGCAGAGCACACACCTGATGATGCACCAGGCCAGCACAAACCACTCTGCAGTGCTTGTGTCACACCACTTCCCCCACAGCACTCTGGCACAAGTGGCTGCTCTTAACTTCCCTGCAAGAGTCCCACACCACCTGCTCCACTCAGTTCCATTCACACACTGCTGATTTTTAGACTGAAAAGGTATTTTAATTAATACCTCTCACTAATGCAATGATGAATTCTCACACTTTGAAGTACAGTAATCTTACTTTGCTCTTACCATACAGGTATAATAATCATCAAAACGACCTTTTTTATTTATATGTAAACATTTTTTTATAAAGCTGCAAGAATAGCTTTGAGATCTTTATTTTGGTTCTTTACTTTCTATAGGGTTGCTGAAACCAAAGTAATAGTCCTCATCTATTTTAGAATACAGTTACTATGGGTTTTGCCTCTCCCATCTCCAAGCTGAAGTTCACAGAATTAACTACTTCAGCTCATGTCAAAGTTTTCACTCTCCCAGCCTACTGGCAGAAGACTGCTATCCATGAAATATAACGGCTAAACAAAGTTGTGGTCGGCTTGCTTTTAATAAGCATTTGTTTCAAAATCACACAGTCTAAATGAATCAAGTCAAATAAGTACCCACAAAGTGGATATTTGCTAGGCAATCTCAATAAAATAATTGGACTTGTAACCACTGATACAGCCACAGTTATTCCTCTAGGAATAATATTTTGCATAAGCACATTATCTACAGCACAACAGGTATTAAGAGTAGATCGCAGCACAGTCCGGATGTCTGGTGAAGATAGACAAACAGTAAGAATATGCTTTCAATGTCTTGAATATAAGTTCTTGGGAAAACATTCTTAATTACTAATACATACATGAAGACAAAACTATTGAGGTTTATAAATGCATGAAGCTAATTTTGTAACACAAAATTTATGTACAATAGAAAGCTATGCATTAATCAAAAGTGTTAAGACACTTGTTCAAATTCTTAGCACCAAAAAAATCCCAAGAGAAAAGTCAACTGGTATGTTGTCAAAAGACAACATATAAGAATAAATTGAGAAGCCCCTTTAACAGCAAGTTATTTAAATATCTGATCAATACTAAGCCTTACAGCAATGAATCTAGGTCCCTGCCTGGGTTCAGCCTTCTCTGTTTTCCTTATATAGGCTCTGAATGCACTGCGTACTTCCTCTTGAATGTTGCCTTAGTGCAATCAAAAGCGTTTAATTCTTGCACCAGGAAGGACCTAGAGAAAGTGGCTTAGAAAAGTTTGAAATCTCAATAATACAGCTTTCAAGTACTGTGCTGTTTTGAACTACGTACAAAATCTATCTGGAACCAAGTTAATTAGCCTAATGAGTACCGATGTTGCCGATTCACCATGCATTAGTCACTATGGAAATAAAACAGTATTCATGGAGCAGCAAGAAACGGCAAGAGCCACCACTGTGTGTGGCCACGCATGTCCTGTTTAGCTGAGCTGGCCAGAGGCCTGACAGGTGACGTAATTCAAAGGACAGGTTACACGGGAGTTCAGCCGGCTGACAAATACTAATTCTAAATTGTTTCAGACCAAGAATCCTGCCCAGATTCCTTATGGTTATGCCTATAATTAGAGCTATTATAACTACTGCCTGTTAGAACTCATCTTTTCTGAATATGATCCCCAAAAAGATCAAACTTGACAAACCTGATGTTTACAACCAGTGTAGAACTAATCACTGTGCAGTGATCTAGATTCACATCTGAGAAAATTTCAGAGCTAAGATCCAAATATAGTATCCACTATATGGTGAGACCAACAGATAAATTTTAAATAATTCCTTTTTGATTGAGACAGAATAGTAGATAAGACAGATATAAACAAGAATTCTTATGAAGCATACATTACATACACTTAATCTTTGCTTTTCTTGAAATCCCGCTTTTCAGAACTTACTATAAAAAAATTATATAAAATAGTGTTAGATCACATCATTGCTACTTTAGTGTATTGAGAAGAGCTAGCAGTGAGAACATTGTATGGAAGGAAGAATAATTTTGAGATGAAAATCTTAATGCACATCTGTCAAGCTGAAAACAGACTACCAGGCATCCAATCACAAATAAAAATGCTTTGGAGGGAGACAAGAATAGGAAATTCTAAGTAGTTCTCAGTCCTCACAAGAGTCTCATTCAAGAATTATGATTTAAGATAAATCTTATCTGATTACAAAGAAGCTCAATGTCACCTTTTCAGATTGCCAACAGAATTTGCATTGTTTCATTAGGCAGACATTATAGCTCAAAGGAAAATAGTCAAATGACAAATCAAATGTCAAATCAGATAAGCAAGAACATTCATGTCACACCAATTAATTTTTGTTGTCCTAGGTTCAGAACAACAGAGAACAGACTGTACTAATTTATTTAAAATATACAAAAATAACTAAGCTTAACTAAATATTTAAAAATGAATAACCTTATTTTTAAACTGACTTATAAAACACTGTCACTATAACAAGTGAAGGAATAATTTCTTCCTGTGAAGATACTTAGTTTTTATAAAGTTCAGAAAAAAAAAATAAAATTCTGAGATCCACAATACTACATGCAGTTTATTTGATAATAATTTTTGATATGAGTAACTCATATCAAAAATATGATATGAAGTGTGGGTTTTTTTCCCCCTGACAATTTTGGATTTCCAAACAGCAAAGTGCATGGATTCTATTTCTAGTGCTCAGGAATAAATTACTCACATAAATTTATTCTCAAATGGCAAAACCAACTATTTGCAACTCTTCGAATTTTCACCTCTTTTCCACTTTTGCTTTATTCCACAGCTATTTCACCCCAGATGTGCTACTGCAGAGAACAGCTGAGGACAGCTGTGTCACAGCACAAATTGGTACAAGTGTCATGTACTGCTAAGACACACATTACTGAAAGCTACCTGAGATATAAAATTTCATGCCACAGTTTTTCTTTTGGGAAATGAAAAAAAAAACCAACATGCATTATCTGCACATTAAACTACAGCCACATCACTAGTCAGGAACAAAGAAAATTTCACACTCCTTGGTTGATTACAATATTTCTTATTCTTACCTTTGGGTGGAGAATGAGCTTGTACGCTTTAACAAAAAGCTGGGAATAAGGAGAAACAACTGAATTGCACTGGACACATTTACATGTGTGCACACATTTTGCTAGAAGATAATTTTATTGTGGATCAATCATTTAAGGTGACTTCTACCTTCCAAAAGAAGACAGACCAGTCAACTTACACCATCCTCAAGCCCACCTTTAGAATCAAGAGTATTATTTTCTATACCCAAATGACTTCCAATATGTGCATAGATTGTTTCACATTGTTAACCCCAACATACATAAAAAAAGGAGTGCAACATCCCATCAACAAGCTGAAGAATTAATAGCACAGGAATACTTTCTTTACAATTAGAAGGTTTTTTCTCAAGGAAATGAGCCAAGAAACTAAATATAATTATAGTAGACTCCTTAAGGAAGCTCCTGGTAGTAAAAAATGTATTGTTCCCCATTTTACAGCACAATTATGGCTTAAGCACAAATGGTAAGGGGAAGAGTTAAGCAATTGGAGTCGTGTCCTCTGCAAAGGTTACACTTCTTCAATCTAACCTAACTCAAGCTAACACTGTCTGAAAACATTTAAATCTCAGTAACGTGATGAGAAATGGCATCCTTAAAACAATCATCAGAGGTGAGTTTGATTTCAAACTTCATGCAAGTGCAGTGTGTGAGAATATTGTGATTTTGAGGACAGTAAAATTATTAAGGCTGTGATACTGGATCAAAATGTTATATATTAAATAATTTCATTTAAAACCTTTTATTTCCATGTCATTCTAAGGAACTTGCAATAATTTCCTTTCCCAAGTGGCCATTATAATGATTTTTTTTACATTTTTCCCAAGTGAACCTGGCTTTCCCAACAGCTGTGTTTCAACAGACTTGAAAATGCCGGTTCAGCTTCTGAACAAGGCAGCACCTTCTGAAGCACATAAGCTGTACATTCCGAAATCAGTTTTTTCTCTGGTGAGCAGAACTAATGAAGCCTGATTCCCCATGGGTTTGCACCCAAGTCCCTCTGATGACACTGTGATCAAGTTCCTCCCAGGTTTGTCCATGCCTTTCAGGACTGCTTCCCCCAGGATTTTTGCTCCATAACGTGCCACCTGAGGCCAGAGCACCCGTACCTCTCTTCCCCGCATTACCAGAACTACACTGCCTTAACATTTTGCCATGTTCCACTTTCTTCCCACCTCCTCCAAATGCAGGGGACCAGAGAGCACAGGCTCCAAGTGCCCTGGGAAGTTCAACATACATGTGTTGACTGACAGAATGGGGGGCCAAAGACCACACCAACCTGCTGAGCTCATGCAGCAGCCCTGATCTCAGCAAAGGTGATAAACCTACTTGCTTCTTTCTCCACGGTCTCAGTTTTAAACACAATACATATGAACGCTGTTACTCTCAAATCTACCTAAAGTTCAGCTTTTAGACTGTTTCTCTAATTCTGGGAAATGGGATGGACAAATACAGAGCAAATAAACTTTTTTCTACCAAATCTTAATGCTAAGATAGATTATGTTGTGTGCACAAGGACTGCTTTTCATCCGAGACAAAAACCTGCTGTACTTGGGTGCTAATTTGTTCTTCATAAAGACAAACTCTACCCATAAAGAGAGAATTACACAATTTATGAACATATAAAAGTGAAACAATTTGTATTTATAAGTTATCAATAAAATTACAGTTATAAGTTGCAGAGAGACTTTCCACCTATGTTTGCAGAGTTGGCAAAAAACAGTCTAATGGGAGCATTTGAGCTGAAGTATCTGCTTTTTAAAAAAATAAATTTAAAACTGTTGAATAAAAAATCAAGCACATGCATTCAAATGTAGAGATTTCTAAATTCTAAAAGAGAAGATAGTGAAAACACTTGTGAAGTTGAGGAGAGATGGTCTGAACCAAAAATATGTGCAACTGTTGCTCAAAACCAAGTGAACACTTAGAACTGCCACTTAACTCATTTTAACAGGTGCAAAATCACAGCCTTCATGTGAAGGTCATCTTTAAAATATTCAAAAAATATTCCACACAAAAATCCATGCTGCAATTTACTTGTTTAAACTGCAGGCTAAGATTTTCAGCCATACTTAATTCTTGTTTGTAGAGTAAAGCAAATCATCTCAGTTGTACTTTTTTGTTCCAGAAGGAACCTTCATCTATTCCATGCTCTGATTATGCCAGTGACTATCACCCAGCTCTGAGGGAAATGCTTATTCCATAGAAGAATTGCAAAATATTTTCTGAAGTCATCTGAACTTCAAATAAAAAAAAACCCAAACCAAAACAGCAGTGATACCACGACATTCTGTGCTACACTGCTCCTACGCCTTTCAGACTGTTTATTAGAATTTAGGCTGGTTTGCATTTAGTTATCTTCAGTTTCCAGGCCTTGGACATTGTGGTCACAATCTACAATGAGCTTTCTCGTTCCATGGGATGTTTCTCCCACCTGCTTACCATGTGAATGCTTTAGACCACTATGTTTAAACAGGTATTATTCTACTGATACATCAGAATTGCTAAGTGAGCATTAAGCTAACACCTAGGCAACCTAAATACTTGTTAGAGGTACTTAGAGCAGCTACATTTGCCTTGGAACTCCTCCTTAGCTCCACAGGGCTTGGTTTTGCTGCTGTATGAACTGAGTTACACAGCGAGTGTAACTTGCAACAGAACACGCATTGAGAAGGATATCTTTCCATATATCCAGTGGCTTTCCATCTAATCTTTTTTATCGGAACACTCTTTGGATGAAGCACACGTAATTCTAAGAATACTACCATTCTTTTAATAAAAAGTGACAGAATTTCAGACAAAAATATTGGTTAAGTGGTGCTGAAATACCACATATGTAGTGCCCAAGATGCAAAAACCTGTCAGTGAGGCTTTTTGCCCTAAACCTTGCTTTCTATCAGTCAGGTGTTGAAATTCTACAAGAACTGAACTTTACATGTGGAATCACTTCCAAATCCAAGATTTTAACCAGCTTTAACTCCTTAAAAAGTTCCACCATTAGATTACTCTCAAGCATATGCTGCCCCAAACGAGTGTAAAATTGTTTTTCCGCGTCTCATCTTACAAAACTCGAGGAAATAATACTTAAAAAAAAAAAAAAAGAAAAAAAAGTGGGCATGTTTTCTTCTGCAGTGGAAATCTAGAGCAATAGCCACTACTCCACACGGGCTCCCAGGGAACCACAGCATCTTCCAAGCCAAATCCGCGGGGCTGGGGAGCCGAGGATGACTTACTTCTTCAGCAAGCAGGAGGGACAGACAGCTGCGGGGTACAGCTGCCTCCCAGCAGCCTCTCCCAGCCGAGCCAACGCCAGGGGCGCGCCCTCGGAGCCGACCCAGCGCGGGCAGAGCTCCCCGCCGGACGCCGCTGGATGCCCCCGCACGCAGCTCTGCCCTGCCGGGGACCCCCGAGGGTGGGACGCCACAGCCCCCCGGCCCCGCTCCTTCCCCCGCCGCCCGGGACAGCGGAGACAGCGCTCACCTGCCGAGCTCCCGGCCGGGGCTGAGGCTGTAGCGCTCCTGGAAGGGCTCC